GTCTCTCAACTGAGGTTGTTGAGACTATACTCCAGTCCAGAGCTCCCGCCACTAGGAAACAGTACGCCTTGAAGTGGAAACTTTTCGCTTCATGGTGCGGACAGCGACTGCAGGACCCAGTCAACTGCCTAATTGGTACAGTTCTGGAGTTTCTGCAGGAGCGATTCTCCGCAGGGTTATCTCCCTCCACTCTGAAGGTATACGTGGCGGCCTTAGCTGCTTACCACGCCCTTCTGGGTGGTCAATCATTGGGAAGACACCCACTTATCACTCGTTTCCTCCGTGGCACCCTGAGGTACAGCGCACTAAGGTGCCCTCATGGGAACATCTTTCTCCTTGCTATTTCCTCACTAAAAAGGATCGGGGATCTTCAGGCACTTTCTGTTTCGTGCCTGGAATTTGCTCCAGGCATGGTTAGGGCATTCCTTTACCCGAGGGCCGGGTATGTCCCTAAGATGCCCACTTTGTCACCAGGGCCCATAGTACTTCAGGCATTCTGTCCTCCTCCGTTCCAGGAAGTAGGCCAAGAAAGGCTTAATCTGCTCTGTCCAGTTCGAGCACTGGACGCTTACGCACACAGAGCTGCCCCGTGGCGTAAGGCGGATCAGCTGTTTGTTTGTCTTGGTCCGCCAAAGAAAGGATCTCCGGCGACCAAGCAGACCATGAGTAGGTGGGTGGTCGAGGCCATCTCACTAGCTTATGAGTCCTCTGGCCTTCCGTCTCCTATGGGGGTCAGAGCACACTCGACCAGGAGTATGGCGGACTCCAAGGCTTTCAACTTGGGTGTGGCCTTGCAGGACATTTGTGCTGCGGCGGGCTGGTCCTCTCCGCACACTTTTGTCCATTTTTACAACCTAGACCTGGCATCTACCCCAGGGTCCCAAGTTCTCTCTTCGTGATGTGCTCGCAAGATACACATACAGGCAGGGACTTGGTAGTATGGCGCAGTGGGTATCCTCGTTCCCAAAGCGATCTCGACGCAGCTCGAGTTCCTGAAAGGGAACGTCTCTAGGTTACGTATGTAACCATGGTTCCCTGAGAGAACGAGACGCTGCGTCTCTTTGCCATACTCCTGGCATCCCTGCAGGCGCTACTTCATCGAAGCTGGTTTGCGCTCTGCCGGATGCGCTTTTATACTTTCTGGTGCTTACGTCACCCCGCTCGTGACGTTTCACTGCTCCGTTGGACTGATTTGACACGTGCTTCAGAACGCGGTCACTCAAGGGCGTTCCCAAAGCGATCTCGACGCAGCGTCTCGTTCCCTCGGGGAACCATGGTTACATACATAACCTAGAGACGTTTTGCGCTATCAAGGTAGTTGAATGGGTTAAGTCAGCCAATTCTTCTCTTTCAGGTTGGACTCCAGGATTCCAAGGTAAGTTTCCTTCAGGATTTACAGGTAAGTCCTCCTCAGGGTTTACAGGTAAGTTCTCAATAACCTGTAATTCAGGCATTTAATTCGCTAAGCCTGTTCCCAAGGATTGGGCAATGTCCTCCTTCCCAGGTTGTGTCACTTCGGAAGTATGAACAGTGAGAGGCTTGCCTACGACTTCAAATTGGGGTCCTGAATAATAACCTTCCTCTTCTGAATCGGGAGTATCTTCTTCAGGACTTTCATAAATTGCTTTACTGCACGTTCTGAGCCTGGGAACCAAACTTTGTGTCTTGAGTTCACTCACATCAGAGGAAATAGTTCCGCAGGGAAGCAACAAGTCACGGTGTAGCGTTCGAGCAGGCCCTGTTTGAAACTCAGGACATACTTTGTACACAGGTAAATCGCCATAACGGTCTACCACTACATAGACTGTTTCCTCCCATTTGTCAGCAAGTTTATTCTTCCCTCTCAGTCTAACACTTCTCACAAGAACTCTGTCACCTTTGTCCAATTCAGATGCTGTCACATGTTTGTCGTAACGAGTCTTATTTCTCTCAGCCATCCTTTTGGAGTTCTCAACTGCAATGCGGAAACTCTCCTCAAGGCTTGACTTTAGGTTATTTACATGCTGAGAGTGTGTCACATCTGCCTTATCTCTGAGAGGTAATCCAAATGCTAAATCTACTGGAAGCCTGGGTTGTCGCCCGAACATTAACTCGTAAGGGCTAAACCCGGTGGTTTCATTTCTGGTGCAGTTGTATGCGTGTACAAGTGGCTTCACGTACTCCTTCCAGCAGCTTTTCTTCTTGGCCTCCAGGGTTCCAAGCATATTTAACAAAGTTCTATTGAACCTTTCAACGGGATTGCCCCTCGGATGGTATGGGGTTGTTCTGACTTTCCGCACCCCGGCAATATCACACAATTCTTTGATCAAGTGTGATTCAAAATCAGGGCCTTGATCACTGTGAAGGCGTTCAGTATAGCCATAATGACATATGAACTGCTCCCACAGACACTTCGCAACAGTCTTGGCTTTCTGATTTGGGGTCGGAACAGCAAGGGCGTACTTAGTAAAGTGATCAGTTATTACCAACACATCCTTAGTGTTACTGTGGTCCGGCTCGAGTGTAAGAAAGTCCATGCATACCAATTGTAAAGGGCGGTTGGTTGAAATGTTCACGAGTGGTGCAGCTTTTCTGGGTAGAACTTTTCTCCGTATACATCGACCACATGTTCTTATCATATGCTCTATGTCTGAAGCCATTTTAGGCCAATAGAATCGATTCCGCACCAAATCCAAAGTACGGTCGATACCCATATGACCAAGGTCATCGTGCAGATGTTTAAGCACATCAGAATGGTATTCTTCGGGTAAAACCAATTGATACATGACCTTATCAGCCACACTCTTCCTTTGATAGAGGACTCCATCGTGGAACTCCAATCGTTCCCTTTCCCTAAGAAGGTAAGGTAGCCTAGGAAGAGCATCACGGACAGTTCTTGAAGGGGTCTCTCCGGTCTGTATTTGGGTAATGACTTCTCTAATACAGGGATCGCCCAGTTGTGTTCTTTGGATTTCTGAAGGAAATAGATGGGGGATAGTTGGTAGTCCTCCACACTGATCTTCTTGCAAATAAACATCAGGCACTGCAGCTGTCTGCATTGTCAGGGAACTGATAAAAGCAGCAGGTAAGTCATGTGAATACTCAGACCATTGAGTAAGACGACTGTCGCAAATGGCTTTTACTACCTCACTACTGATCTCTTACCTTTCAGCTTCTGCAGTGAGCCGTTCAGCAAAGGTAAGTATTTGGTTTTCCTCATTGTCAGATATATCATCTATAGGGAGTTCTGAATGAGGTCGCCGAGACAACCCGTCGGCATCAACATTCTGTTTCCCACACCTGTACTAGAGTTTGAAATCGTAAGTAGAAAACGCTGCTAACCACCTATAACCAGCTGCATCTAGCTTGGCAGTGGAAAGAACGTAGGTTAAGGGGTTACTATCTGTCACTACCATGAAAGTACTGCCATAAAGGAAGTCGTGGAACTTCTCCGTGACCGCGCACTTTAATGCTAGAAATTCTAGTTTATGGGCAGGATACTTGGATTCGCTAGACAAAAGTCCCCGACTCGCATAAGCAATAACCCTAACTTGCCCATCCTGCTCTTGGTATAGGGCGGCACCTAATCCTGACGTGCTTGCGTCCGTGTGCAGAATATACGGTAACTTGGGGTCAGCGAATGCTAATATGGGGGCAGTAGTGAGTTCCTCAATGATTTGATCAAATGCCCTTTGGCAAGCTGTTGTCCACCTACTGTTGAAGAAATCCTTTGGATTTCGATAATGTCCATTGTTTCTCGACTTAATACCCTGACGAGTAGAAGGATATCCCGAAGTTAAGTCATTCAAGGGCTTGATCTTTTTGGAAAAATCCTTGACGAAGCGACGGTAATAACCAACGAATCCTAGGAAGGACCGAAGTTCTTTTAAATTCCTAGGAACTGGCCAGGTTTTGACCGCTGCTACCTTGTCGGGGTCTGTCTGCACTCCCTGGTCGGACACTATATGTCCAAGATACCTGACTGAGGTCTGTGCAAAGGTGCATTTTTCTGGGGCAAGTTTCAAACCGTATTCTTTGAGCCTCTTTAAGACCCTCAGTAGCCTTTCCTCGTGTTCTTCCAAATCCTCGGAAAACACAATTATGTCATCTATAAAAACAAGAACTTCACGGAGATTGATATCTGCCATACACTTCTCCATGATTCTCTGAAAGGTGCTGGGTGCATTAGTGACACCTTGAGGCATACGGTTGAACTCGTAGAACCCCACAGGACACACAAACGCAGTCTTTGCTTTGTCCTTCTCCTTAACCTCAATTTGGTAGAAACCAGACTTCAAGTCGAGTACTGAGAACCACTTGGATCCTACCAAAGCCATAAAAGTGTCCTCCAATTTTGGAAGCGCATAAGCATATTTTATGGTTCGTTGGTTTAATTTCCGATAATCTATACATAACCTAATGTCGCCACTCTTTTTCCTCACAACAACAATTGGTGAGGAATATGGAGACATTGATTCTCGTATGACCCCTGCGTTAAGCAATTCCTGCAGATGTTTCTTTACGGCCTCCATGTCTTCCGGGTGTATAGGCCTTGGCCGATGTTTGAATGGTGTCTCGTCCATGAGGTTAATTTTATGTTTAACCCTATCAGTGCGCCCAAAATCTTGAAGATGTAAGGAAAAGACTTCTGGCATCTCCCTTAACTGTGCAATAAGCCTGGCTTTCCATTCTGGTGGAATGAGCGAATTGCCAAAGTTGAACTCAAGAGAGGACTTTGTAGTGTCCCCAAGGGTAACTACAGATGTCTTAACAATCAAGCCACCAGGTAGAGAAGAGGAGGATGGATGTTCGATGACTACCCATTTGTCAGGGTACGCTCCTTGAACGGAAGCTGTCCCACAAAGAACTGTGCTTTGACCAGCTGGGATTGTTTGAGTTTGCTTCTCAGGTAAGCGCACTAGCCCAACATTTCCTTCCACACCTTGTTTTTGGCGTAACTCTAGGATCTTAAGGACCTGCTTATACCCATAAGAGGGTGAAAAGTAACGGGGTTTGTGTTGTGAAAAATCCTTGTATAACTCGTCCAAGGTATTTGTGCCAATCAATATAGACGGCTGAAAGGTAGAAGGAAGATCAGGGACAACAAGAGCTAAGGTAGGCACCTCCATACTGACTCCAACAAAATCTCTGGGGAAGATGATGTTAACTTCAACGTAACCAAGGTAGGGAACGTTTTGACCATTGGCACTCTCAACTTAAAGCAAATTGTCTAAGGAGTGAATTTGTTGGTCACCAAGATTTCGGTTGCAGAAAGACTGTGTGATGGTGGAGACTTGTGAACCCGTGTCGAGCAAACAGTCACACGTCATTCCTGCTATGTCTACCTGGGTGGTGCATCTAGTTCCAATTAACCCTCTGGGTATGACTGACTGCCGTGAGTTCACCCGTGCTCGTGACGTCAACACTTTATATGGTTTGGGACACTCTGAATAAATCTCAGTTCCTCCTTGCCCCGCAGCAGGAACTGCTGTTAGTTTAACCGTGGCTTGGGGCTGCCATACTGCAAATCCCATTAATTTTGCCGCTTCGTGAGTTGGTCTCTTTTTTCTGCCA